TTTTGGTTGCCTGCTATTTTAATTCTCTGTCTTACTCCCACTGACCCCTTGGGTTTGGTAACCCAATATCTGGAGAAATTCCAGGTCCTGACCTCAGCTCTTGAATCGCTCAAGCAATGCAGTTTCGAAGTTGTGAATGCCCTAACTGAGCCAGTGATGCGTTTGGTGACCAATCAGTAGCACTGAGCGTTACCAGAAGGTGGGAACTGTCTGCGTAGTATGAGCAGCAAAAGCAGACTGTAGCCATGATGGGGGCTTGCTGCTACCTTGTCAAACACAGCAGGCAGTTTCTGACAGGGCCAGCAGCCTCAACATTACTGACAACATCCAAACAGTTAAATTCAGGGGAATGCACATGAACTGGCAACAAACCCTCTAGTTCTGATCACTTTCACTTCATTAAAAAAAAACCCCTCCCACTGCTTGCAAGCTCACAGCTCTGGCGGGTTCAGGCTTGCTGAATTCTCAGGTGAACAATACAGTCTGGGGTTTGCCAGCTGGTTAGTGACATCTTCAGAGAATCCAATGGGCCATGAATTGGAGCAAAAACAGAAGTTGCTGGAAAAGCTCAGCAGATCTGGCAGCATCTGTGAAGGAAAAGACAAGAGATAACGTTTCGGGTCCAGTGACCCTTCCTTCTGAGGCTGCCAGGCCTGCTGAGCTTTTCCAGCAACTATTTTGTTTGCTCCTGATTTATAGCATCCGCAGTTCTTTCGGTTTTTATTGGGCCACTAATTGGAGCTGGGCAAGGATCCCTGTTCCCAGTCTCACTTGTTCCTCACTTTGAAGAATGGAGTGTATCCCTGGACATGGGGATCCAGGGCATGATTTCCAGGAACATGATCTTTAAATTGCTCTGAGCACCTATTCCCTGCCCAGTCAGCTACAGAAAGGGAGCAGCAGAATTGATGGCAATTGAATGGTCATGGGCAAGGGGACTGTGGATGCCAGACCTGCTGAGTTATTTTTTGCTTATTAATTCAGATCTTCACTTACTGCAGTCTGTTTCATTCACCTGAGAGATCTGTAACTGAGCTGATGGGTCATTTGGTCCCCTCCATTAGGTCCCAACTTGGAACTCACTCACAGGTATCCGTTATTCCAGGTTAGTATTCCTGAGAGAGATGGGGGGTCTCAGGGAAGTTTCCCTACACCGCCTGCCTCCCGAGATGGGCTTGAAGCTGTGAAGATAATAGAGGGCTGGGGCCATACGTTTGAAGGGAGGTGTCAAATGAAAGTTACGGTGTATACATTGCCTAGCGAGTGGCCTGCAATGGTTCCTCTCTTATTAATGATTAACACGGCGCTTCTTGGCGAGGCTGGGAAAGTTTTCAGAAAGTTTGGGAAAGTTCCGTAAACTTCCTTACCTGCTGGATGAGTGGGGGATCTGGGTCCTGGGATTGTTCGCTTCGGTTCTTGTCAAGAGGCTTGGCTGAGAATCGCGGGGGCGCGTGTAGATTTCAACCAGGAAGGGACGCCCCAACGTGTGCGCGCACCGTGCAGATATCAGCCAAAAACAGAAAGTTGTACATTTCCGAGTGGGAACTAAAAACACGCAGCAGCTCACGGGCCTGAAACAGTAACTCTGGTTTTCCTTCCTGCACAGAAGCTGTCAAACCTGCTGTGTTTCTCCAGCACTTTAGGGTTTTAGTTCAGGTTCCTAGCAGCTGGAGATTTGTTTGTTATTAAATACAGAAGGCTTTTTTTCGATGAGAGATGGCCAACAATGGCGAGAGTAGTATTTGCTGCCTTATTCCCCTGGCTGGGTCTGGGTAACCATTCCAGAACAGACAGATCACCACGTGCTGTTGTGAGAGCAGAAAGCCCCTAGTCCCAAACCCAGGACTGACCCCATTGAAAATCACAGGGATCAGGGCCAGAATACCAGGCTCAGGCCAGGCCCTCAGACCAGGATCCAGAACTAGATCAGCTTCCTGACCTAAGTCTAGATCCAGAACTGGATCAGCTTCCTTACCAGGAAAGCTCCAAATGCAAAATGTGGATATAGCCCACCACTGACCTGCTCTTGGACATGGCTTTAGGAGGCCTGGCACAGCAAGTGTACATGGAATTGGAGCTTATGGATACCACCTGGCACTGGCCTCAATTGTATCAGACGGATCCAGGTGTCCAGCACTCATTGGCAACTGAGACTGATAATATCAGATATCAGCAACTCCCTGATTGATGGACTGAATGGCCTATTCCTGCTCCTCCTCTTTGGGACTGAATGGCTCACCCCCCAATCCCACCCCCACCCACAATGTTCTAAAATTACACAGGGCCAAAGAAACAGCCTTCTCCTGCTTACTGATGGCCAACTATCCAGTCGCTACAAGTGATCAAATGAAAGGGCAACTTCATTGACCAGTATCTCCAGTTCGCTTCATCAATGGAAGCTCACACATCGTAGAAAGGAGCTCATCACCAGCTTGACAACTTGGATTATCCAAATTAGCCATCCCACAGCCAGAATTACACCATAGCAACCTTTTGACCACACCTGAGAGGGTTAATGCTGCCCCTCTGTAAAGTGACTGCTCCACTATGAAGAAACCAATGGGATCATGTATTCCCACTATATTATCCATTCCACCACTTCGATGGTTGGCCTCCAATCATCCACTTTCCATTAACTTCAACTCCTCCCAAACTCTGCTATGTATTCTAACTCTGATACACATTCAGCCAGAAACTTGCTGCCTACACTGACCAACATTGGTTCTCTGTTTATCCAGCAACGCCTCAGCTTTTCAATTCTACTCCCGGTGTTCAAATCTGTCTATTTGTCTCTCAGCCCTTGCAGCCCTGAAATGCTTTGAGGTTCTGCGCTCGTGCAATTCTGACCTCTTGTGTATCCCCAGTTTTCATTATATCAGCAGCAGTTGCCAAGCCTTCAGCTATACTAGTTCAAAATTCCTCTACTTTAAGATGCTCCTTAGAAATCTACTTCTTTCACCAGATTTTTGGTTTCCTGTCTTCGTACCTCCTAATGTGGTTCTGTCAAATCTAGATCAATAATATTTCTACAATGTGCATAGGGTCTCTTACTTTTCATGGCAAGCTGGAAAGAGAACATCCTGGAGCTATAGCAAAGAACATTTACCCCTTATTCAGTTACCATGAACCACGTTGCCATCATCAAAACAAACATAGCACATATCCCACTCGGGATAAGCCGAGACATGTCACATACTTCCTGTCAGACACTCCCTCACCCCGATGCTCAGACATGTACATTGAAGCTGACGTACATATCAGTCACATACAACAGGATTGCTGTACAGAACTGTCACAACCTGCACAGAGTCCACTGTGAGGAATGAACTACAGACTGCACTCAAGGGAACAAAGGCCAGGCAAAGTATGAAGAGGGATTACCAGGAGGAAGCAACAGCAGCATTTTTAATGTTCATTCATGGGATGCGGGCTTTGCCAGCAATTATTGCCCACTTCGAATTGCACTTGAGAAGGTGGTGATGAGCTGCCTTATTGAACCACTGCAGTACATTTGCTGTAGAGTGACCCACAATGCCCGTTATGAAGGGGGTTCCAGGATTTTGACCCAGTGACACTAAACAAAAACAATGTTATAGTTCCATGTCAGGATGATGAATAGCTTTGAGGGAGACTTGCAGGTGGTAGTGTTCCTATGTCTCTATAAGAACATAAGGAATAGCAATAGGACACTCATCCCCTCAAGCCTACTCCACCATCCGTTAAGATGATGGCTGACTTGTCCCAGGCCTCAAGCCCTCTCTCCTACCAGCTCCTCAAATCCCTGAACTTCCCAATATCTCAAAATCTGTCTACCTCCTCCTTAAATGCTTTGTAATCTTAACCTCCACAGCATTCTAAGGTAAAGAATTCTGGATAATCACTACCTTGAGAGAAGGAATTCCTTTGCATCTCAGTTTTAAATGCATGTCCCCTAGTTCAAGATTCCCCCACTGGTAAAAACATCTTAACATCTACCATGTCAAATCCCCTGACAGCCTTGTATATTTCAACAATATCACCTTCCTTGAAACTTTAATGATAATGTTTAGTCATTCTTGCTAAGTCAACCTTTCTGTTCCAGGAATGAGCCAAGGGAATCTCTTTTGAAAAGTTTCCAATATCAGTATATCCTTTCTTTAAAATATGGGGAACTGTATGTAATTCCATTTGCTTCCTTAATTGCTTGCTGCACCTGCATGCTAAAGCTCTTTTGTTCCATACACAAGAACACCAAGACCCCTCTGCATGGCACTTTCTTGACATTTCTATTTAAATAATAACCTGCCTTACAATTTTTCTTACCGAAGCACATTATTTGACACTTTCCTACATCAAACTCCATGAACCAAGTTTTTGCCCACTCACTGAACCCATCTAGATCCCTTTGCAGATTCCTCACGTCTTCATCATACTATTGCCTTCCATCTACTTTTGTATCAACAACAAATTTGGATTAATTACACTTTGTCCCTCCTTCAAGTCATTAATATACTGTAAATAATTGGGGCCCTAGGTCTCATCCTTGTGGCATTCCACCAAATATGCACTTCCAACCTGTAAACCCATTGACCCAACTGTCTTCTGCATGTTAACCAATCCTCAATACATGCTCATAATGCACTGACATTACACGCAATACCATTGTTCTCCTAGATGGTAGTGATCATGTGTTCGGAAAGTGCTGAGGAACCTTGTTGAGTTTCTGCAGTGCATTTTGTTGATGCTACACATTGCTGCTCCTAAGCGACAGTGGAGGAGGCAGCGAATGTTAGTAGATGTGCTGCCAACCAAACAGGGCAGCTTGTCCTGGATGGTGTCAAGCATGAGAAAGGCAAGTAAACATAAGCATAGGGAAGGGACAGATGGTGAGAAAAGTTTGGGTGAAGGGTCAAATACAACTTCCAAGATTAAAACAATTCTTAAATGGGATAAAAGAAGGTTTGACTAGTCCCATGTCTCTCATTGCCAAATAAGCTGTGAATGAGAAGATTGAGTCTGAGTTTGATTTCAAAAATATTTTATTTCAAGCCATACATGAAAGTTTTGGTCTTTGACGCTCCCCCAGCACTCTCTCCCTCATCATACCCTCTGCTGGCTCCTGCACCAATGCTGTTAACAGCACCTTGGCCCTCTCCCGCCCTTTGCCCATAGACATAGTGAAGAGTGCATTAACCAATGGCCAAGGAGTTCACTTGCCAGAGATCTTACAGACTTCGTCAGGAACTATCAGCAGCCATTTTATCCATCTCGCCCAGGAAAAGAACAAAGTGCTCATCTGATTTGCATAAAATAAATAGACAATCTATTAAATTATATGGGATCGTTTGTGATGAGCATTGACCTCTCACTCATTGTACAAGTAGAAATTTCCCTTAGTCATTGAACTATTTATATATATTTTATTTATAAAAACATATGACTTAAACTCCTTGAGATTTTGCAAGCTGTTATAAAGTTTCTTATTAAAATTCCACCAATCTATCCCTGCTTCAGCATCCCTCAGATTATTACAATGATAGAACATTCCACACTATGATCCTGGGATTGGGACAATTTCAGGATCAGTGATATCTGGGATTGGCTGCTGCCCGCTGGTGGCTGGGGATTGGCATCCCCCAGGTGAGCCAGGCTGAAGATTGGGGTTAGTCTCAGGATATTTCTGTTTATTGTCTCCTCACTATACCCAGAGAATTTTTACACTGGCGGCACTCAGTTTGCCCTCTCTGCTCATCGTGCCAACCCTCATTAAGGATCCCCGTTCATCACAAACCATCACAGTCTCTGATCCTCCACTGGTAACTCCCTGCCAATAGATTAATCTCTTTCTTACACACCCCCCGCCCCACTTACATGAAAACAGCACCAAATAGGCACTAGCGCTGATTGTCATCTACCCAGGAAGAGTGGCAGACACCCTATCCTTGGCATTACAGATAATCTGGCAGTTTACCCACAGGGTGAGTGTGTGATCCAAGCCAAACTCCCAGATACAGGACTAGGTCCTGTCCAGTAACTGTTCTGGAGTCAGAACAATTCCAAAGATGAGTTGCAAACCACGAGGAGTTTAAATGAATAAAGTGTAAACGTGTAATAGGAAGGCACTTGTCAACCAGCTGACAGGCAATGAGATGTAGCTGAAACTAGTTAAAAAATATTTGGGATCGTGTGTCCAGTGCACCTGAACCGAAGTGAATTGCTGCATCTTCCATCACAATCATCTCCCTCTGCCGTAGCATGACCTGCTGTGTAATGCCAGCATTTTCCCTAAATCTATCCACATACTTAACCGAGAGCTGCAAATTCTCTCTGTCTGCACTACAATCTGCTGGGAAGGATCTCACTTTGGTTTATTCTCCTGTCCACCTCCTTCATCCTCTCCTTCCTTAGAGATCCGAGTTGTTTCGTAGTGTTTTATATATTTATAGCAGGGTTCAGTCGCTTCCCCCTCCAGGGCATTGTCTCATCGCCCTGCTGCAGCCGTCTGTAGTGCACTTTGTGGTGCAACACTACCATCTGCTGGAGCTTAGCCAGTACTGCAAATTACTTTCAGCACATCTACATTTTAGTGTTGGAATGTGTACAGAATTGGAAACAGCTATTGTACTTCGTCAGTGGGGAACATTCCTCCCTTGAGAAAGGAAAGAGGGTAAACATGTTGATTCACATGGCTGATAACATAGAGGAGATCAGTGTAAGAGGGGAGCTGCTTGGCAGCAGTCACACTCTTCTGATCCACCCACGTTGATCTGCGACCTATAATAGGCCTAATGGCCTAATCCTGAGTTATTGTCTAGGATGAGCCCCAAGATCAACTCTCCCTCCAGCACTGCAAAACAACAACACTGTCACCCATCAAAGCAGCATACAAAAATACCCCTAGCAAAAGCAATGTTGTGCAGAGAGGAAATCAGACGAAAATCTCATAGAAGGCAAAACAGTCTCAGCTCCAACTACGGATAAGGTTGTTGCTCCTGGGATGAACTTTTATTACTGGACTCTGTCAGCTTCCTGCCCACGAGTCCCGTCCAGCCCTCAGCACCAAGCATTGTCGAGTTTAGAGATTCCCGGTGAAGCACAGGAGAACAAGAGCGTGCAATGCAATGAAATACAGAGCAAACAGCAACTTGGTCCGAGACCGTGTTTGAAGCAGAGAACAAAACGACCTCACTCTGGAGCCCCTCCGAGTCTGAAGGCAAAAACAACACATTAAATTAGAGGAATGTACTCCAAAAAAGTGGGGAAGGGAGTGGATGTGTGTGTGGAAAGTCAAATTGGGGGGAGGAGTGCAGAACTGGAGCAGAGGGAGATGGGGCAAGGGATGGGAGAGGGGATTGGAGAAACAGAAGGGAAAGGGATTGGAGGCATAGGGAGGGTCAGTGTTGGGAAGGGAGGGATGGGACTGGAGGAGGGGAGGGAGGAGCAGGAGTCCTGTCAATGGGAGCATATTGAGGTAACCCAAGGCTCTCACCTTGCTGGGAGTGGCACTTTCTGGCAGCTCGATTAGCATTGAATGCTCCTCCATTGCTGAGGTATTGAGGCTTCGCTCCTGGGCATTGACCCACTCGCTTAGCTCCACACTGAAAGGAAACAAACATCAAATGAAGCCTTTTGATAGCACAGCCATTTCCTTTCCCAGCAGTGGCTCTCAGCCTCTCTATTGTCTAACTTTGGGCACATCAGTGTCAGGGGCTGTTGAATGGTGTTGAGGGCCCCACACAACCAGCAGGCACACAGACCTTTCATCCTCTTCAGCCTGTTTCACCATTCTATCACTGCTGATCTTGGCTGACATGTACCTCAACCAGATTTCACTCCACATCCCCAATATCCTCATTCAGTATAAATCGAGGAATCACACCAACATTTCAACTGAATCTTAGCTTCCACTGCTTTTTGACAGAGAGAATACCAGATTTCCACTGTATGAAAAAGTGTTTCCTGATTTTGCTGCTAGATGTCTTGGTTTTTATTTCAAGATGGTGGGATGGAGGAACACAGGAATAAGTTGGAATATGGGGATATAAGGAGAAAGTGGGTAGATAAGGTGTAGGAATATGGAGAAGCTGTTGATCTTCAAAAATAGGACAGACTTGTTTACTCTAGAGCATTCCCCATTTATGACATGCTGCTTTAAAAGAGGCTTTCTCAGTCCTGAGAGGATGTCTTTCCTCTAATATCTTTTGATCTCAAAACAAATGTCTCATTCCTTTGCCCCTTTTTAAACGGACTCCCCCAATTCTCTCCTGCCACAGATCGCTTCCCCATTATCACTAAAGTTCTTCCATCCATTCATATCTTACCTTTTGAGTCGATGCTCTGCTGACAACAGGGCTTCCTCAGCAGCTAATCGCTTTTCCCGTTCTTCAGCAAGCGAACCCTCCAATTGGTTGAGTTCTTGCTCAGTTCTGTCGTGCATCTGTTTAGCTTCAAGCAGCCTGTGAAATACAGATCAGGGAAAACAGTGATTTTCACAGGATGATGGCAATACTGGACCAGGAATTTGCCTTCCTGTGCCTCAAGCTTGTTCGGCCATTTAATGAGAGCCTGATTGACCTGTGTTGCAATTCCACCAAAGTCTTGGTTATCAATCCCTTAATACTCTTGTTTAACAGAGATCACAGTTTTAAAGTTTCCAACAGGCCTCCAGCCTCAGAGAGCCCCAGAATGCCACTACCCTTTGTATGCAGCTCCCTTTATACTGTCCCGTTAAGGTACAGGCAGGTACAGCGTGGGATTAGATACAGTGTAAAGCTCCCTCTGTATTGTCATAACAATCACTATGGAAAGGCACAGCACAGCAATCACATCTGATGGAGGGAATCTCAGGAGCTGATGCCCCCGCTGTGCTGCTTGTGGCACCTTCTCCACTACCCACTACCCTCCCTGTTCACAGAGCTGAGTGCAATTTAGGGAGATATAAAGAGAGGAAGTCAGATTGCAAGAACAAGCAGCCTTTCGTCAAAAATGCAATTAAAATGTGCCTTGTGGCAAGGGTAATAAATTACTTCAGTGGGGATTATTTACAATGACAAGAGAATTTGAGAGACGGTGTCAAAATGGCCAGGGATAATTCTGAATTAAGCTAACCGGAAAAATTGTCAGATGCTTACAGCTGTAATAAATGTAGATGCATGAAGAGGAAAATAAACACATGATTCTGGGCAAAGAGAAAGGATCTGGGAGTAATCTAAAAGTTCCAAAGATCTGCTACAGTGGTTTAAAAACCCTCCTTTCTGAGCTGAATCATTCTATTAACTTGGACTGTGATATTCCCAATACTATAAAAGGAACATGCCTAGGGGGTGATGAGACTAGACTAGGGTGACTATCTCAGTGATAGGTACAGTGATCCAGCAGCTGTTCATGGGTTAGATACTTCCTTACATCAAATAAAAGGTCCCATTTCAGTCGGTGACATCAGTTACATTAATTACATAACAAACACAGCACAGAAACAGCTCATTTGACCCAATCAACTCATGCCTATAACACTCAAGCCTCTTCTTATTTAACAATCGGGAATACCCTCATTCTCCTCTCTCACATCCTTATCTAGCCTCCCATTACAAGTCACCTCAACCACTGCCTTGCTAATTTCATGTTGTTGGGTTGTACAGAACTTGAGTCTTGCCGAGAAAAGGGCACATTTTGTTGCAAGTTTGTGTCTTCGGATCATCAGGACATTTTGCAAGAGTATTGAATCAATGGGAAACCAATTTTTATATTTAATGAGAGAACAGTGCTGACTGGTTAGCAAGTGGATTCTGATTAGTAGAGGTACTGCCACAGAAAATGAACCAGTTAACGATGACTGTCAGTTAACAGCCCAAGTTTTGTTTACATTTTAAACAGGACAGGTTGACTCAAATTGGTCATGGTCACCAAGAAAATCAAAAGTGGAATTTTTGGAAGAAACCTCTTTACATGAAGTGATAAGAACATGAAATGTGACTATTGCTGAAAAAAATTAACATTTTGTGTTAATGGTTTTTCCATCTGCAAACAAGATCCTGTGTATTAACGTGTATAAGCTTCCAGTGCACACAAGTGTGCAACACTGTGACCCCAATTCAATCCTAAACTGACTGTCAATGTAATTCTTCACACACTCAATAGTTAGTTTGTAAATGATGTGCAATTGCAGAATCACACCCAACATTGAAAACTATGCTGTAAGTTTTCAAGTGCAGTCTGGTTGGGTACGGTCAGGCAATTTTATTTGATACACCAGCCTGTGGGATGTACGTACCTAGTATCACACTGGAACTGAAAATTCAGAGACCACATTACTCGTTTGTACGATATGCACAACATCTTCTTGGAATGACAGTAGCGCCCTGCTTGCAGCAAACACCACTTGTACAGCTACTGCTTAGTTGATGAAAAGCTTCTACAAACTTTTTCTCAGCAATAGTCAAGTTTCATGTTCTTATCACTTTCCGTGTAAGGAAATTTCTTCTGAAAATTCCCTTGCTGATTTTTCTTGGTGACCATCCTATATTGAAAATTGCAGAAAAATTGGCAAACGACTGATAAACTTATGTCTGGCAAAGAAAAGTTACCCAAATAACAAGACTTCCAATGTTACAACAGCTTTACACTGTGTGATAGGTGGAGAGTATATGGTCCAGGATATAACTGAGCAGACACTCGCAACAAACACTGGTTCTTTTGCTATTTTGCAGTGCCGCGTCAATCCAAGGGCAAAAAGTAGCATTACTATTCTTACCTTTGCTTCAGGTGTCTGAGTTCCAGCTCCTTGACATGCTCCTCATCCTGCCCCTTCTCCTGAGGGCCACCTGGGGCAGCATCTGTCATGGGGTTCAACTACAAGTCAAAGAAAAGCAGAGAAATGGGTCAAAATAGTATCTGGAGATATAACACAACAAAGCTCTGAGATATTCCATCACCTAACATTAAATTATATGTACTGGGAATGAAATATAGCTGGAATGAGCAATTTGGGTGACATTTATATATATATAGGCTGGAGTCTAATTGAGGGGGTCAGGAGAATTTAAATATACAGTAATGGATACCTGGAAGTGAATCAAAGGAAAGGACCTTGTCCAGTTTCTAGTTTCCTCCCTTTTCCCATCACTCAGATCTGGCATTAAGCTGCTAATTCCCCCAGTTCCTATTATTCTTCTACCCACCTTCTTCTCTTCCAGTAGATCTGCCGAAGACTGTAGCTGCTGTTCCAGAGTTAGGTGACGTGCCTGTAACTCGTTAAATCGATGCTGCGTGTCACGCAGACTCTGGCCAGTTCCTCGCAGCTGAGCAGAGAGTGCAACCTTCTCCTCAAACACCAGCGATATCTATCGACAGAACAGAGTAGGTGAGCAAGGGAAATAGAAGGTACATATAACACAGGACACAACAGCATGTCCTGGTTAAGATGGGTTTCATCTTAATGTTGGAGGTGTTCACAAGATAGAATGATACTGGAAACCTACGGTGGGTCTAGTTTTGGAGCAAGATGGACCTGGTTTCATGGTCAGCTTCTTCAGGAGTGCAGATTGCAGTGAGAAGGTCAGCACCTTCAGGAAAGTGGGTAAGTGTCAGTTTGGGGTAGGAAGGGAGAGAGACAGAGACAGAGACACAGAGAAAGAGAGAGAGAGAGAGAGAAAGAGAAAGAGAGATGATGATCTCAGAGATGGTAAGGACTTGTGGAGGTCCCCACCATTCTGGGGAAATGCAATAGCACCAACAACAGTAATGTAGCACATGCTTATGGCGAGCAATAAAATGTCCACAGCACATTACAATGACATTGTGAAGCCACTAAGGGCATGTTAAAGACCTCAGATAGCTTCAGAAGGACTTTGAGAGAAAGCCTACATTAGTCACAGTCACACAATGTGACATCAATAAGAAGCTGCTTTGTTACAATGGTAGGGATTGAAATCTGATTGAGGGGATTCAAGCAATGGCCTGAAATTTCTGATCGTGACCTATCACCATTTGCAGTAGTTATGCCTCTCAAACTGACCACAACTTCAGGATTTAGCAAAAATGCAGTTTAATGCAACAGTCTTGAAATGGTAATCCATCATTCGCTGGTTTGTCACAGGCTGTGCTGAAGATTCCTATGGTGAACTGGATCAGATACATTGATAGAAATGGAAGGCACTTAATTGGGACCAAAACAAATCTGTCTGCAGTGCCTACCTTGCTGTTGAGTTTCTGGATGCGAAGTTCCTTCTGATGGAGCTCTTTTAAGCTGTTGTTCAGCTGGGACTTCAGCTGACTGTTCTCAGTCTGCAGACCTTTAAGAATCTCTCCAGGATTAGCTGTGTCTTCAGGTGCCTGTTTAACAGATGTAATCAACTCGAACTTATTTTCTTTCATTAAAAGATCATAGTCCCTACTTCTGGCTCCAGGCCTGAGCTTGGCTTGTTTCCATACAACTCTTGCCCTGCGCCAGAACCATTGGCAGAAATCAAACTCCATCGCCTGGTGGGACAGGATGTGGTGGCAACTCCATACTATCCTGTACTTGTTCCTTCTTGGGGTTTCTCCCATAACTCCTCTACCCCCATTAAGGCCCTGCTCATGCTGGGGATGTGGGCAGGGGAGTAACCAGTCAATAGGAGCAAACTCTCTCTCAGTAGTTAGTGCAATGATCATGGGTAAGTCTAGGCAGTGAGTGACAGCCCAGTGTCCAGGTTGGTTAAGCCTGAGGTCCATGTCTACAGGCACAGTGAAACACTGCAGTCTGATTAGGAGTGGGAACTTGTTCTGGTTTTGACCCAGTTAAGCCCCTAGGAACTCAACTACCCATTCTCCACCTCCACAGTTCAGGGATAGACACAGGGGTCAACCAGCTCCCCACATGCAGAAGTAAGTACAAAGGAGGAGAAATAATCCTTCATAGAGTCAGAGTCATACAGCACGGAAACAGACCTTCTGATAGTTGAGTTTTGTTCTCAAGTTACCACCACGCAGTATCTCATGAAAGCAGCAACTATGAAAATAAGACAGTGCAGTAGTTAAGACCAGTACCTGTTGTGTCACCTTCAGCCGTAGCTCCTGGCACAGGCTCTGAAGCTCTTGGATCTGTTTATCCTTATCTGACACAGCAATCAGATACTGTTCTTTCAGCCTCTCACACTGTTTGGTAAAAGATGACTTCTCAGATCTGCAAGATAGGACAGTGGAATCATTCAAAGATCCAGGGCAAGGGAGAAGGACCAGCACTGGGGCAGGGCAGGGGGACCAACACTGGGGCAAGGGGAGAGGGTCTGCACACAGGCACAGGGTAAGGGATCCCCGCCCGGGCACAGGGTTATGAGACCCCTGCATGGGAAGGGGGCAGGGAGAACACAGTCCATTTTCAATTTCTTTTGGGAGCATGGTGCTGCCACTGATTTTCCACTTCACTGATTGGTCCCCTCTCCCAGCACTGTCCATCAGAAACTAGACAAGATCATTCCATCTCAGTCCAGGCTGCGCCATCGCTGGGATAATCTGGCCCAGAATACTTGTTGCCATCACCTTCATAGCAACAGTTGTTGCACATAAATGTAATTCACTGAAAGGAAATTAATTTTAAGGACAGTAAGAATGGACATTCTTCCTCGTGTGCAAGAGCCACTTGGGTGAGGTTTTTCTGCTCATTAATCTGATCGTGGGCCTACAGCGATTACACTGTGCTGTGGAATGGCAAAACCTGACTCAGTAACTAGAGACAGAGAATCAGCAGTCTAATGCTAACCTTAGCTGTCCAAGCTCCTCATGGTAGGAAACACTCTCCTTCTTCAGTTGCTCTTGGGTGTCTCTGTATTCGGCAATCTGTTGGTTCTGGGCTTCGAGCTGTGTCCGGAGTTGTGACAGTTCAGCTGTCTCCTCCCCAATCCGCACATACTGCTTCTGCAGGTTCTTCAACTCCTCCAGCTGCAACAGAATTAGGGAAGTAGAAGAGATATACCAGGGGGTATGGAGTAGAATGCAGGACAGCTGCACAGAAGAGCTTTCACACTGGGATGAGACAGAATAGATGCAGAAGAGTGAAGGATCCCAGCACAGTGCAGCGGACTAGGAAGAGATTAGTTTCCACAGCACAGTAGGGGCTGGGGACAGAGGGCAGGTCATTGACACGGAGCAGTGGATCGTGGATAGAGGGCAGGACATTGTATAAAGTTAGGATCATGCCAGAGGACCAGGAGATGACAACACCTTCCATTCCTCTCACAATCTAACTTTATAAAACACATGCTTAGAACCAGCTGACAACTATTTATATAAACCACCGCCCATCAAGTCTGTTCTGTCATTTAGTGAGATCATTTTTAGAACATAGAACATAGAACATTACAGCGCAGTACAGGCCCTTCGGCCCTTGATTGATCTGATAATCCTCAACTCCACTTTCCTGCCTTTTCCCCAGAACCCTTGATTCCCTTACTGATTACAAGTCTATCTCAGTCTTGAATATAGAGTCATAGAGTCACACAGCACAGAAACAGACTCTGCAATCCAACTCATCCATGCCAACGGGGTATCTTAAACAGAACTAGTCCCATTTGCCCGTGTTTGGTCCATATCCCTCTAAACCTTCCTTGCTCATGTACCTGCCCAAATGTCTTTTGAATATTGTAATTGTACATAGCTCTAGCACTTCCTCTGGCATATCATTTCATACATGCACAATGCTCTGTGTGCAAAAGTTGCCCCTCAGGTCCCCTTTAAATCTTTCCCCTCTCACTTTAAGCCTATGCCCTCTAGTTTTGGACTCTCCTACCCTTGGAAAAAGACCGTGGCTATTCACCTTATCTATGCCCCTCATGGTTTTATAAATCTCCTTATGGTCACCCCTCAGCCTCCAAAGCTCCAGGGGAGAAAGGTCCCAGCCTGTCCAGCCTCTCCTTATGACTCAAACCTTCTAGTCCCAGCAACATCCTTGTAATTTTTTTCTGTATCCTTTCCAGTTTAACAACATCCTTTCTATAGCAGGGTGATCAAAATTATACGCAGTATTCTCGAAGTGGCCTCAGCAATGTTTCGTACTGCCGCAACATGTCATCCCAACTCCTATAATCAATGCACTGACCAATAAAGGCAAACATGTCAAACGCCTTCTTCACTATTCTATCTAACTGCGACGTCACTTTCAAGGAACTATGAACCTGCACTCCAAGGTCCCTCTGTCAAACACCACTCCCCAGGGCCCTACCATTAACTGTGTAAGTCCTGCCCTGGCTTGTCTTCTAAAATGCAACACCTCGCACTTATCTAAATTAAACTCCATCTACCATTTCTTGGCAAATGATCCATCTGATCAGGATTTTGTTGTACTCTTGGATAACCTCCTTCATAGTTCACTATACCACCAATTTTGGTGTCATCCACAAAATTACTTACCATACTTCCTATATCCTCGTCCAAATCATTGATACAAATGACGAATGTCAGTGGACCTAGTAGTGATCCCTGCGGCACACCACTGGTCACAGGTCTCCAGTATGAATAACAACCCTCTACCACCCTTTCCTACTACCAAGCCAATTTTGTATCCAATTGGCTAGATCCCCCTGGATTCAATGTGATCTAACCTTACTAGCCAGTCTACCATACAAGACTTTGTCAAAGGCCTTGTTAAAGTCATATAGACAATGCCTACCGCTCTGCCTTCATCCATCTTCTTGGTCACCTCTTCAAAAAACTCAATCAAGTTTGTGAGACACGATTTCCCACACACAAAGCCACACTGACTATCCCTAATCAATGCCTTTCCAAATGCATGTAAATCCTATCTTTCAGAATTCCCTCCAACAACATATCCAACCACTGAACATCAGACCCCACGCTAAAGAATTCCACTGATTCACTTCCTTTGAGGAAGCAAATTCTTCCTCATCTCTGTCTCAAATGTGTGACCCTTCATTCTGAGATCATGCCCTCTGGTCTTAGGCTTCCCACAAAGGAAAACAACCTTTCTGCATCTACCCTGCCACCAAATCTTTCCTCAGATAAGGGTCCCAAAACTGTTTACAGCATTCTAGCTGCGATCTAACTAGTGCCTTGTATAGATTTAACAAAACCACCTGTCCTATAAATTCCATTTCCTTTGAAATAAAGACAAACATCTCATTTGCCTTCCCTATTAGCTGCTGAACTTGAATGTTGGCGATTAATGCATGAGGACTCCCAAATTCCTCTGCACTGTAGCTTTTTACAGTCTTCCTCTATGCAAATAATAATCAATCCTCTGTTCCTCTTGCCAAAGTAGATAATTTCACATTTTCCCACCTTACATTCCATCTCCCAAGTTTTTGCTAACTCACTTAGCCTAACTGTATTCCTCCGCCATCCTCACCACTTGACTTTCTATTTTTGTTTCATCAGCAAATTTGGCTGTATTACATTTACTTTCCTTATCCAAGTCATTAATGTATCTTGTAATTAAACGTGGCCCCAGCACTGATCCCTGTGGCACACCACCAGTGCATTACATCCTTCCACTTCTGCCTTAGTTTCCGATCTTCAGATTTTGTTTCCTTACCCGAATTTGACAAAGTAAAAAAAAGTCTGGATTTTACGTTAGGAAATCCACAACACATGTATCAAAAGAAGAAATATTTCCACACACCAAGTAGTTAAGATCTGGAATGCGCTACTTGAGAACATGGTAGAAACAGATTCCATGAGGTTTTCCAATGGGAACTGGATCATTATCAGCTAAACAAGAAATTGGAGCACTACAGGGACAAGGTGGGTGAGTGACATTTGGTGAATTTCTCCTCCAGATAGCCAGCTCAGACTCAACAAGCTGAATGGCCTTCTCCTATGCTTGTGCCATCCTCTGCATCATAAAATAACTTGTAACTTCATGCTTAAACAGTAAACTGAGGGAGTAGATCAAGGAAGTGGTTCACCGCTACCTTCATGTGGCAACATGGAATGTGCACTGAATGACCAGCCTTGCCAGCAGCACCCATATCCTGAGAATTCATTAAAAAAAATTTAAAGTAATGAACAAATTATTTAAACATGCCTTCACAATGTTTAACACGGAAAGAAGTTTATACAATTTCTTAGGTCCTTTGTTTCATCTCAACAACTTCCTATAATCTCACAACCCCATGTCTCTCTCTAATCCCGGCCTCTTGCAGCTCCCTGGTCACTTCATCACTGACTGCCATATCTTTATAGTTGCTTGGGCCTTAAGCTCTGAAATCCCCACCCCTAAATCTCTTCACAACAGTGTCCTCCTCAAGATACTCCTTATAACCTACCTCTCCAGTCAAGCTTTTGGCCTTTCATCCCAATATCTTCTCACATGGTTTAATGTCAAATTTTATTTGATAACACTTTTGTAAAATATGTTGGGATGATTTATTATACCCTGTAGGAGTGCTGACTCCATGGAGGGATTTGAGGACATGAGTGAGAATTTAAAATTCAAGACTTTGTTGTTCTGCAAGTCAACGTGGATCAGTGCACACAGAAGTGATGTGTTGACTGGTGTGAAGTATGCCACTGACAGCAGATTGTGGAGGAGAAATAGCTCAGGGGCAAAACAAAATACAGGAATTTACAATATAATTATTTTCAAGCCATGAGGGAAATTTATAGGTAAAACGTAAAGTGACAAAACTATAGTTACCAGTCTATCACGGTCATTCTGCAATGAAGACAAAGCATTTCTCAGACTCTGCACTTCACTTGGCTTTGAAGACGTTGATGCAGAACCCTGCCTAACTTCGTGAACTTTCTTGCTTTTGGCCACTGTATCCATCAGTCTGTCCCTCTCCTCTTGTAATGTTGTCACAGTCTTGGAGAATGCTTTCAGTTGATTGGCTGAGCTTTCTAGTTCCAAGGTTAAATCATGCACATCCTGCTCTTTGGACAACAGCTGCTTGCTCAGTTCATCAATGCGAATCCGCAAATTGTCCTCAATGGTACTGCTCTTCATAGCTGCCAGCTCTGATGATAAATGATCCTTCTCTTCCTGCAGATTATGGAAATTGATTTTGGACTGGCTTAGCTCTTGTTTTAAGCCTTCACTCCTGTTCTTCTCCATCTCAAAATCATTCGTGTATTTTTTCTGTAACTCCTCAAGTTGCCCAAGGAGATGGTCTCGATTGACTTGTAAAGAACTCATGGCTTTCCCAAAAGACAGATTCTGTGCCTTGAACTGCTCAACCTCTTCAATTGATTCCCGTAATCTCTGTTCGGTCTCCATGAGGTCCCTGGCAAGTTCAGCCACTCTTTCCTCTGCTGTTTCGGTTTCGTTTCTCATGATGCCGGCATTATGCTGCAGATTCTGGAGTTCCTTCTCGTACCGAACTTCAGTGGCGCGGAGTTTTTGCTCAGTTTCATTCTCAACTGTGACCACTTTCAACTCAAGCTCAGTGACCTTGTCCTGCATGGAGGAGAGGCTGGTGACCAGTTTTTCCACCTCCGCAGTCTTCTCATCCAACTGACGCTGAAGCAGCTGCACAGGCCCACCAACTGTTAACTTTTCCACCTCTTCCTTCAGCTCGCCAATGGTTTTCTCTGCTAACTGCAACTGTTCCTTCTGATTTTGCTTCTCGTCCTTCAGAGCTTTGTTCTCTTGACTGAGTTCATCTGATCCATGTTCCACTTCTTTTAACAGTCTCTCGAGGTCAGTTTTCTCACTCTCCAATGCTTTAATTCTCTCAAGTTGAGTTTTTAGCAACTGCTTGTGCTGAGAATCCTTCATTGAAATCACCTGGTTAAGGTCCTCTCTGTACTGCAAGAGCTGTGCATTGAGTTTGGCATTTTCTGAGTTCAAATCGTCCTTCTGCCCTTGCTGGCTCCTTAATTCATTCTTAAGTTTGTTGTTCTCTGTCGCAGCCTCTTGAATCAGGTGGTCTTTTTCTACAATCACCTCAATGTGTTTATGTTCGAGTTGTTTGTAGTCGCTCAACACTCTCTCCCGGTCATCCTGGAGGGAGGCCATGGACTTTGTGAAAGACTCTAGCTTTACATTGCTCTGCTTTAATTCAGCTTCAGTTCTTTTCAGTTTTGCATCCAGATCTTCAGTTTCTTTCTGCAGTTTTTGGACTGCTCGCTCTCCCTCCAATTTCTCATCTTCTATCTTCTGAATCCGACATTCCCAGTGCCTGATGTCTTCAGCATGCTGCTGCTGGGCCTCACTGATAACATTAGCAACAGCCTCCTCTTTAGCTGCCAGGAGTGAAACAATCTTTTCCTCTTTTTCTCCAATTTCTTTATGCAGCTTATCAGTTAAAGATTTGGAGCTCTGGAGGTCAGACTGAAGCTGCTCACAGGTCAACATGTAATTTTGCACTTCTGCCTCTCTCTGCCTCAGGTTTTCTTCCAGCTCGCCTCTGGTTGTCTCAAGCTTCTCTAGAGAGCTGCTTAAAACAGCATTTTTTTCTATCAGGCTCTTAACCTCTTCTGTTATTTTCAGTAGCTCATTCTGAGAATCTTTGTGAAGCTTCTGGAATTCTTCTGATTTTGAGAAGAGCTGTTGGTTTTCATCCTCAACCTTTTTCACCATCTGCCTATGAACCTCTTCTTCAGACTTGAACTTTGATTCCCATTCCTGTTCACTCTGCTCCAATCTGAAAAAATTGTCCACAATAGTTATGCAGAGCAATAAAGTTAACTAAACATTTCCAGCACAACTTTACAAAATTTATTTACTCTCAGGACCCTACACTCAGCGCTCTGCAAAACACTACGAGCACGAAGTCAGTTCAGAATGACCACTCATTCTTAAGCCTATCCCAAGCCACCATCTCACCCTGCATTGGGAGCAAAAAGATAAAACAGCCAGTCCCTTTGTGGTCTTCCTTAACTTTCTGAGGTCATCAAAAGCAACTCACTAATTCATTTAGAAAATTCTGTTCCAAATAAAGTAAACTCCTATTCATACAAAGGATCGCAGCAGGCTTTGACTTACAATTTACTAACTAACTGGACCAGCTGCACTCAATGTTAAGACATAAATGGAGAATTTGCAACAAAAAATGAAGTACATTCAGATGTGCTAAGTTTCCCATTGTGTTCACCTCTGCAGTGATTCACGTTTCGTGAATACACATTGGTGAAAGACCAAGGTCCACATAATGCTGGACATTACAATACAGAAAAGAATTGGAGAAATAATTCATCAAAGGCCTGATAGAAAATTTGACAGGTTGATATAACAGCTCATAAACACTAGGATTTCTCAATTCTGTATATGCCTAGGACCTTGATGAAGCCCAGAAGTCCATGCTGCAACACCAAAATTAATATTTTTTTAAAAAATGTATGTTCTGTGAAGACCCAGCATCAATGAAGGAGTGGCAATGTACATCCAAGGAACGACGGTGCATATTTTTGAGGGGAACCTAGAAGAGTTTGTATTCCCATTTGTTTACTGCAAAAGTTGATGCATTGTTGCAGTGCTTCCTGCAAACAATGCACACTGCAGCCACAGTGTGTTGCTGAAGGAGGGACTGGATACTTTAGCAAGTAGGAGTGATACATAGAAATCTATAAGTAGTGCTTAGACTGACCTTGTCAAAAATGCAAAAGAAAACTGATGGCAGCTGACTCTTTCATCTTTTCTGAATCACAGATCTGAGCCCTTTTATTCAATCTAAATCAAGGCCAAAAGGGAACAGCCTTGCCTGCCAGCACCTTGGGAAATTATGTTGCATATGATTTGTATTGCGCACAACCAGAGGGGGAAGCACCCCAATGACAGGATAAACCCAGCGATCAATCCCCCCACAAAACCTTTTCCTTTACCTTGAAAGCTTGATTTCCAGTTCCTCGCTGTAAATAGACGCCTGTCTTAGCTGCTCCTTCAGCTCATTGCAGTTGTCTTCCTTATCCCTGATCTCTTCCTCTTTCTTCAGGATCGCATCATTGAACTTGATTTCCCACTTCTTGGATTCATCAATGATTCTATCCCGATCATTCTGTAAAGAGGACATGCTACGAGTGAAGGCTGCCAGCTTTGCCAAATTTTCATTGAAGTCGGTTTGAATTTTACTGGTTTCCTGTTTCTTCTTTTCCAAGATGTCCTTCAGCTCAACAATAGAGTCTTCAGCATGCTTCTTCTCCCGTTCCAAATGCTCCAATTTCTCTTGCATATTTCTTAGCTGCTTTCTATGTTCATTTTGTTCTAGGTTAAGTTTTCGCTTGTGTTCTTCTTCCATGCTGTGAGCTTGCTCTCGGGCCTTTTCCTCATTAGTTTGGAGTTCTTCTTTCAGTTTCAGGTTGTCAGCTAGGATCCTAGCCGCCTCACTTTGGGTATCATCCAGTCGGACTTTATAGGAAAACAACTCTGCTTCAGTCTTTTTGGATTCCTCAATTTTTGCTGATTTTTCCTTTATCGCAGCATCCAAATTCTTCTGAGTTTCTTGCTGAACAAATTCCAGTGCCTTGACGGTCTTTTCCAGATCACTGATTTTCTCCTGGTAACGGATACAATCTTTCTGTAGCTGCTTTACCTCTTGCTGTTTTACCTTAAGCAGCTCCTGCAGTTCTTTGTTGTGGACCTTTCGGCCCTCTTTTCCTCTTTGCATTGACTTGACTTTTTCCTCAAAATCTTTTTGCATCTTGGCTGCAGATTCTGCCTTCTCGCTCTTGAGCTGCCTCACCTCTTCTTCCAGGTTATCTATATGCTTCTGGTTGTTTTTCACAGTTAGTTCTAGGCATGAAATTTTGTCACTGTCATCTTTCAATTCCTGTTGATAGTTAGCAATGCTACCATTGAGTTCTGCTAACTGATTCATTAATCGCTCTTCCAAGTCATCTTTATCTGACTCTGCAGCTGCTTTTTCCTTCTTTAACTCTTCTACTTGTTGAATCATCTGGTGGTTATCCTTCTCCTGCTCAGAGACAGACTTTTGCATTAGTTTCAATTCGTCCTGACTCTTAAGCAGTTGTTCTTCCAAAGTCTCCTTCTCAGTTCTCAAAAGCTGACTCGTTTTCTTCAATTCACTCATCTTGTTCTCGAGCATTTGTTTGTCAGTTTCCATCTGTGTTAGTTTTTCTGTCAGCTGTGACAATTCCAGTCGGCAACTGGCAATTTCATCAAGGACCCTGGGATCACAGACTTCTTGTGAGCCCTCAGGAGAGGCATGGGTTGCAGTTGACTCTACAGCAGAACCCAATTTGTTGCTGAATTCTTGTTTAACCTCTGCAGCAAGGGATGCTACAACTGCTTCTTCCATCTGAACTTCCTGCCCTTGAACGACACGACTGCGAATTTTCTCCAATTCTTCTTCACTTATTTCCAGCTTTTCAGACACATCCTTCAGCTGCTGCCTCAATGTAATCACCTCCGAATCTAAAGAATCCTTTTGAGCTTTCAATATCTCGAGTTCATTCATAACCTTTTCAGTTTCCCTCACTGCTTTCTGCAGCTCTTCCTGAAGCTGATTTTCTGTTGAGTCAGGGGTTATAGATGGCTTAATCTGGCTACTCGTTTCAGGCTGTTGCTCTGACTGAAGCTTCTCAATTTCTTCTTCAAGTTCCATAATTTTCTGCTGCTTCGATTTAGCAAACTTCCTCATTTTCTCTTTCATTCCCTCCTGCTCCTGAGCAGCCTCCTGAACTTGCTTTTCTAATTCTAGCTTCTGAGCCTCAGTTTCTCGAATCCTACAAAGCAGCTCTTGATTCTCCTGCTTGCTAACATCCAGCACACGACGTATCCTTTCAGTCTCACCACCAACATTCTCATAAGACTGTAGAAGGGTCTCGTATTCCTTCTGTAGGTCACTGTGTTTGCGTTGCCACTCTGAGCTCTCAGCTACTTGTTCTCCTTTCAAGAATTCAATCTCCTGCTGCAAGCTTCCTTTCTCCAATGTAACACTATCAATGACCAGCTTCAAGCTCTCACATGAAGCACTGAGATTCTGATTTTCAGTCAGTGACTTATCCACTTCTGTGATTAATTTTTCATTTTGGTCTTGGAGATTCGACATTTTTGCCAGTAAGTCTTCTTTGTCTTGCCTCAGATCCTCAGTGGTTTTCTCCATTTCTCTCACCTTGCTACTTAGTTCTTCTTTCAATGTCGTTACAGAAGCCAGCTCTTCCTTCAGCAACTTATTTGCCTTCAAACTTTCTTTACGTGAGATGAGGGCAGCTTGTAGCTTCCTCTGTATTTGCTGTTTGGACTTAGCCTCTTCAGTATCTTCTTCTTGCTTCTGTTGAATTTCCAGAATCTCTGTTTGCAACTGTTTTCTCTGTTCTTCGTGTTCTTTGGTTTGCTGTTCTATTTGCATTTCCAAATCTCTGACAAGCTCTTCCTTGTCAGATATCTTCTGTTGCAGGTTGTTGAGGAGTACATCTTTTTCCTTCAACTGTATCTGGAAATATTCTACTTCTTCATCCTTTTTCTGCAAAATGTTCTTTAGTTCATCATATTCCTTGTTTAGTGTGGCCAAGTGTTCAGAGACAGAACTTTCAGCGTTGGCTCTCTCTAAAGCTACTTTAAGGCCTTCTGTTTCCATTTCTTGCTTCCTCTTCTTCAGAAGATCAAGTTCTTTAAGTAATTCCTCTTTCTCCAAGTGGTGGGTTCTCTGCAGCTCAGAAATTTGATCTTGAAACTCTGTTGATTCTTCCCTTGCTCTTTGTTCAAGATTTTCTGAGTGCTCCAGTTTTAACATAATACTGTCCTTCTCTCTGTGTAACATCTGGAGTTCTTCTTTTAACTGTGCCACCAAAATATCGTCACTCCTTGATTCAGATAGACCTACGAATGTCTGAACTGGTTCTACTTTTGAAGGTTCTATCTCCTCACAGCTCCAGCCCGAATGCTGATCTGCCTTTGGGACATTATCCTCATGAAGTGGCTTCCCTGCCTGCAATTCCACATTCACAGAACGTTTCTCTTCTAATAACCGTAGCCGCTCTTTCACTTTTGAAAGTTCCTCACAGATGCTTGCTTTCTCCAGACATTGCTCATTAAAATTCTCCAGCAGGATATTATACTCCTCTTTCTGTTGTTTCACTTGCTCCCTGTGATGTCTGTTCTTTTCCTGGACCTTTTTGATCATGTCCTTGCGTGAACTCACAGCCTCCTCAAGCTTCTTCTGTAGCTGATCTTTTTCCTGCTCCAGGGTGAAAAGCTTCAACTCAAGCTCAGTTTGTTTACCTTTTGCCAAGCCTTCCATTGTGGTGATGGACTCATCTACATTCCTTCCAGAATCTACTTCAGTACCCTCATGCTCGACACACTTCTTTTCCACCTCAGGCTGTGACGTTAGCTGTTGAATTGTTAACTGCTTGGCAAATATATCAGCTTCCAGAGAATTCACACAATCTGTTTTTTCCTGTAGGTCTTGCTTCAAAGCTTCTACCAAATTCTGAAGCTGAATAACTTTGGCTGCTTGATCTTGCAGATTTTCGTTAACACGCTGCAAATCTGCTTCTTTTTCAGAAAGTGCCCTAATCAAGTCAACTGTATGTGGATCCTGGGATTGTGCTTCTTTGGATGGACTCAGCAACTCTGGAGATACAAGGTCACTGCGTTCTGACCCAGGCACCATTGTTGAGAGTTCCTCTGCATGGAGGTCTTTCTTCTGTGCTTCCTGATTCATTTCTTCCACTTTCTTCAGAAGCTCCTTCCTCTTTATCAAAGCAGCTTGCAGCTTTCTTTTTACCTGTTCATTTTCTGTCTTCAGATTTTCCACTTGCTTCACCAAACTGTCTTTCTCTTTCAACAACAATTCAAACCCGGAAGCATTATTTTGTAGGAGGTCCATCTGTTCCTTCTGAGGAGACAGTTTGGTCTCAACTATGGGTTTCTCCTGGCCTCCAATTCCCTCCTGTTCTTTTTGCAGCAATAAAAGCTGCTCCTTCAAGTGTTTTACTTCGTTACCCAGGGAAAATTTGTCTTCATTCAATGCGACCATTTTCTCAGACATGCTCATGGTAAGCTCAGCCATTTCAATGTCCCTTGCTGTCAGACTGGTCTGAAGCTGTTGAGTTTTGCTGGTTTCCTCAGACAGGCTGTGTTGCACACTCAACAGTTCCTGCTCCTTGGAAGCTAACTTCTGCATGAACTCCTCAACTTTGGACTCCTCATCCATTATGAGCTGCTTCAAGTTCAAGATTGCTTCTTCTTTCTCCTGCAACTGTGCTTTAATAGCTTTAGCCTCTACATCATGCTCAGAGACCTGACACTGGATAGCATCCAGCTCCTTCTCCAAGGCTTCAATTTTCATGTCTTTTGACCTCGATTCATTTTCTGCACTGTGAAGCTGCTCTTCCAACAAGCCACTCTGCCTGCTTGTTTGCTCCAAAAACAAAAGCCGCCTCTTCTCTTCATTTGCTGCATTCTCCTCAGCTTTGGTCAGTTTTTCTTTCAGCTCAGATACTGAACGTAACTCCTCTTCATACTGCTGAATCTGACTGAGGAGCTGGTCCTTTTCTAAATTCAGATTATTGATGGTTTCCTTTGCATTCTCAGCCTCTTTCTCACAACTCAAAACTTTCTGATTTAAGCTCATAAATTCCTCCTGCTTGTCATTCAGCTGCCTTCTGTACAAGGTCTCTGCTGCTTCCAGGTTCTTTTCAAGTTCCTGTATGCGAGTTTGTAGTTTCTCAAACTCTTCATTCTCAATCATTCGAAACCCATGAACATTTCTAACAATCTCATCATCTTGCTCCTTTCCTGAGACCATCTGCAATCCCTGCTGTGAAATGGAACTAGATTCGAGATGCTCCCCAGAACTGTACAGCTCTGTGGTGGAGTAGGTGTTCTCATCCAGATGGACAACTGTTGTACTCCTTTGTTCTACCTGTACGACAGAGGTAGTCTTCCCCTCTATTTCCACTGAAATATTGGTGCATTCTATTTCACTGCCTGAATTCATGCTGTCTTCCATTAGTGTGACAAAGCTCTTTCCTTCCTTCTCCTGTATCAACACATTAATATTCTTATCAGCTATTGACATGACCTTCTGTCCAAGGGACAGAAACTGATTCACATCCGCTGCCTCTACTTGGGAGCCAGTCCCATCTTCTAGTCGCACACTCCCTGGTTTGTCGAACAGCTGTTGGTTGAGCCTTGCTATTTCCTTCTTAGCTTCTGCTAGTTGCTGTGTAACAGTCGCCAGGTCTTTATCTTTATCAGAGATAGCCCTCTGTAAGGAATCGAGATCTCTGCACTCCCCGACCTCTGCATTATCGTGCTAGGTTGAAAAAAAAAAATCTCAGTAATTCCTACATAATGCTAAACTTCGAAATATAACACCCCACCCAGACACCGGCTATACATGGTCTGATATGGTAAACCTGTGGCCTTTTGTATAAACCCAACTTCCTTCATCACACCATTAGAGGTTGTGACTTTGGCTGACCAGGTTCCTACCTCTAGAATTCCTTCCCCAAAACTCTACCTCTCCACTTCCATGACGCATTTGAGACCTGAAGGTCCTTAAAATATACCACTTTGACCAAACTTTTGCCATCTGTCCTAATATCTACTGCTTTTTTCAGCCTGATTACGTGCGTATGAAGAACCTCAGTACGTGTAACTACTCAACGACACTGTATAAATTCAGGTTACTGATGTTGAGGCAAATGTACAGAATTTACAAAAATACAACAAGTACAAGTACAAGAAATGGCCAAGTTTTTCTGCCTATACATTGTGGAACTTGGAAGAAACTGCCACAGTAACCCCCAGCCAGCATTCCCTACCACCAACACCATCACATAACAAGTGCTTGTTGGGAAGGGGTGCGGTGGTGGTGGTTGATGCGTACTTTACATTCCACAAGGTAAAGGCACTACATCTTGGCCATTACCTGTCCTTACTGTATTTTTGTAAACTCTGTGCTTATATCAACATCATGACCCTACACCTAGATGATGAACTTCTTCTTTAATATTTCACAGGATATGACATCTCTGGCTCGGCCAGCATTTACTGCCCTTCCCTAACTGTCCAGACAGCCATTACGAATCACACTACTGTCGGTCTGGAGTCACATATGGGCCAGATCAGGTAAGGATGGTGGATTTCTTTTCCTACAGGACAATCGTGAACCAAATGGATTTTTATGACAATTAACAGTGGCTACATGGTCAATATTAGGCCAGCTCTCTGTTCCAGATTGTTTTTCATTGAATTAAAATTTCACTATCTGCTTGGGGTTTTGGATTCTGGACTGCTAGCTATTGCCACTATGTCACTGCCTTCCTTATTCATTAACTGGAGAGAAAATTACTTTTTGCCATTTTCAAAGATTCATACAGTAAAGAGGCCCTTTGGCCCATTGAGTCTGCACTGACAAAAACTACTCTGAATCTGCACTAGTTCCACTTTCCACCACTTGGCCCATAATCTTGCATGTTATGATATTTTAAGTGCTCATCCAAATTCTTTTTAAAGTTTGTGAGGTTTCCTGCCTCAACTACTCCCCCAAGCAATGCATTCCAGATTCCCACCATACACTGGGTGAAAACAAAAATCCCGCAAATCTCCTCTAAAACTCCTGCCTTTCAAAATTATACCCTCCTGTAAGTGACCCTTCAATTAAGAAGAAAAGCTGCTTTCTACACACCTTGCCCATTTCCTCGTTATCTTATACACCCTCTCACAGCTTTCTCTGCTCTAAAGAAAACAACTTGATCTTATTTGGCCTCTCTTCATAGCTAAACTGCTCCATCCCAGGCTACATTCTTGTCAATATCCCCTGCAGTGCATTCAAATCTTTCCTATAGTATGGTGTCCAGAACTGCACACGGCACTCCAACTCTGACCTAAACAAAGTCTTGTACAGCTCCAACATAACATCACTGTTCTTATAATCTATGCCACAACTAATAAAGACAAATGTTCCCTATGCCTTCTTTACTATCGTAATGGCATTGTGGGTCTTCCTACAGCACATGGGCTGCAGCAGCTCACCACCACCTTCTCAAGGGGAACTAGGCTTTACATGGGCAAAAATGCTGGCCAATCAGCAACAGCCACATCCTATGAATGAATAGACAAAAAAAAGACGCCTCTATTCCTCCGACCTTGCTCGTGTCCTGCCATTCATGGAGTACTCCCTTGTCTTGTTATTTCTTCCAAAGTACATCACCTTACACTTTCAGGGCTAAGTTCCATCTTCTACTGATCTACCCATCTACATCCTCCTGTAACCTAAGACCTTCTTCCTCATGTCAACCACCTAACCAATCTTTGCATCACCCACAAACTTACTTGTCATTTTTCCCCACATTCTCACCTGCATCATTTATGAGCATCACAGATATATCCCAGCTTTATTCCCCAGAAACTCTCAAATGCTCCCTCACAACCAGTCATTCAGTGCTATGCTGTTCTCCATGGGTGTCTGCAAGGTTTTCTCTGAAAGTGAGGTTTTTATGGTGCTGAAGTAGCAAACTAGCAGGCACGAGTTTAAAAACTTTCCATGGCAAGATGTGAAACTGAATGCATCTAATCTGGTGTTTTTGCTAGCTGACACCAGTGAAGAGATCATGGAAGTTGCCGGTCATAATAGAGTAGCCCAACTGGCGCACTAATATCTCTCACACGTACCTTATTTGGTCTACACGTGACTTCAGTCCCACACCTGGATTATTAGCTGTTAGTAGTCTAGCAAGTCACTCAGTTGACAATGGCTAAGCAATTCAAAGACTCACCATCACATTCACAGGCAATTGGGGTGGGCAATAAATGCTAGACTTGCCAGTGATGCCAACATCCCGAGAATAAAAAACAATTGCAAAAGAAAATGTACACTACACACTAGCAGCTACAATTGGATATTCAAAGTGGAATTTTAGAGAAGTAAAGCCAGCACCACTTATATTTAAGCAGCACATCTCTCTGAAGCACTTCAGAGACATGAGTGCTTTCAACCAAACCAAACAAAGTCATAAAATCTTGAATTCCAATCATAATACTATTCCAAACTATAAATCTCTGTATGGCTAACTCCTCTTAATCCAAAAGTGTTTGATTCAAATTATCAGATGATTCTAATGTATTCTTCGCAAACAAGAAGCTTTCATCAAAAGACTGTTTGAGTCCACACACCATGAGGGAAACACTCCATCCTTTGGGATGAAACTGAGATAGGAAGAGTTATAGCAAGAAGTAGGAACAAATTACTGTGATCTCCAGTTTTCATTATAGCAAGAAGTTCCCGTACCTGAACTTCTGTCAGATCTGCTGCTTTTGGTTCTGATTCAGCATTGTCCTGAAGAACCCCTGCTTTGTTTGTCTGCCCTGCAAACAAAAGGCAGATATCATATCCATCATCAATTATCTACTCTTCTCACGAATTCAAGCGCATTTGCATACACATTCTGACTTCCACTGGGACTGTTGTGACTACAGGATACTGCCTGCAACACAAAAAGCCAGACTTATCGATTGCCATACAATGACACGCACTGTCAGCTGAAAAACAGGTCATTTACTACATAATACTGGGAAATGCCAGTCTCCCAGTCTTGTTATTTAATGCTCTCCAAACAATAAACTCCACCATTAGATGCTGGCCCCTGCTTAGGCCTAGCTCCTGGTTACAAATCCCAAGTGCAGCAGGCCAAACAGCTGACCGTAAGGGGGCCTATAACAGGGACTTGGCCTCAATTTATATAATTAAGGGGTCTATAGCTTTTCCGGTAGTTACCACATAGGATGGAAAACCAGCGGGACCTATTACCTAGAGGGTGCAGGGATTATGAAAGTATGAGCGGGCACACAGTGAAAGGGTTAAAATAAACTCATTAACCTTCCTTTCTCGACAGGTGTGATTCTGCCCTCTCCCATTGCAAATGTGTGATCTTGACAAACTTTGAGGGAACAATTTTTGATTTATTTTCTTTCCAAGAACCAGGAGGAGGAATGGAAGGAGCAATTGGTGCGGGAAAAAAAAGAATCTGTGCTAGTGGCTAATTTACCTAAATATAGACGCAGGGGAATCCTTCCTCCTTTTCATTCCAAGATTAATTAACTGATTGATCCAGATGCCAATTCCCATTCACTTTAATTGAACTATTAACATAGAGGGCTAGTGAATTAAGGTTATTCTATCCTCCTATCCTTTTTAACAATCTCTCACCAAAGTCCTTCACATGGGCATCCTCACTAAGAAATAAACATTTTATTGGGGAGTCGGATGTTCTGTTAATCGGTCTGTCACAAACTTTTAATCTTTCTTTCCCCTCTTTCAGATGCAAACAGGTGTGCTGAGCATTATCTTTTTCATTATTTTCCTTTCCTTTTTGAGTACGGGTGAATTTAGTGAGTTTTTAAAATTCATTCATGAGAATTGTCAACATAGAGGCTGGAATACCACTACACTGTTCATTAAAAACAACAGCATGACCCAGTACAGCTGGGGTTAGAATGCAGAGTTGTGTCCCCATTACATTGTTCTATCAGTACCACCACAGCAGATGCAGAGAAAAGTTCTTGTTGATTTAACTCAACAATGAGCCTCAGTCAAAAGGAACATACAGCATCAACAGAGATAGTAGGAACTGCAGATGCTGGAGAATCTGAGATAACAAGGTGTAGAGCTGGATGAATGCAGCAGGCCAAGCAGCATCAGAGGAGCAGGAAGGCTGACGTTTCGGGCCTAGACCCTTC